ATACCAATAATTGAATCACACCCCATATCACTCACTATCTGGTCTCTCTGAACTAGTGGCTGGGAGGCTGCTGACTCCTCGATCTGAGTCTCCTGTGGGAAGTCGCAGAGGTATAAACACAAAGGGTGGCTTATTAAGATGCCCTTCTACACAAATATTCATTCAAACCTGAACTCACTTGCCCCCAAGTAAACCATTGTAGGAGCCTGTGGTCCCTAACAGGCCCAGGCAGAATTAGGGTCTCCCAGAACTGGTTTCTGATGTGTAGTTATAAAGAAGAAGGGAAGTCCTGGGCTCCCTTGAATTCAAATGGAAGGATCTGGCTTTGAGGATACAAAGGTCTCTGGCAAGGCCCCAGCCCCAGAGCACTATCGAAGGGAGGCCCTCATTCCTGCTGCTTGGTCCTGTCTCTATTGTGTTATGTGATGATAGAAATGAACCTAGAGGTCCCTTGGCAGATGCTCATGAACATCAGAGGATGGAAAACATAAGAAGTAGAAACAGCAAATGAGGAGAGTGAGAATAAAGAGAGGAAGAAGAAAGTGGCCTATCTGCAGGACTTGCTGTTTCGTTGATGTTACAGGATCCTCTTGGCAGAGGTCCGGAACTGCTCGCATTGACAGAAATCACTAAGGACTCAGCAACCTTACATGTATTCCTGAAACTCATCTCCAGAAATTTAGACTCTGAAATTCTGACAGTGTCTTAGCATACACTTTTGTAGCCTACAAAAGTGGTACTGAGGCAACTCTTCTCATAGCACACTTTACATTTTGTTGAGTCGATTTCATGTACTCTGTCATATATGTCAAGGTCTATGGAGCCAAGTTTGTGTCCTCAAAAGTCCTTCAGCGCGCTCCATCCAGTGGAGCCTAGTTAACCTAGGCTTAAGGAAAACCAACTCTTCTTCCAATAGTTAACAGTCCCCAGGAGTTCCTCAGCTAAAGTTGAGGCTTTTTACCCGCTACCCTCCTTCTATGCTGGGCTGCCCAAGGCCTTAGACAATCACTGGAGAAAGAACAGCCACCACTCAGGAAAACTGTTATAGAACTTTACATGAAGGAGGAAAAAAAGTGCTCTCTGTTTGAGCTACACTGCAGGGTTTGTTTGATACAACAACAGTAAAAAATATCTAAACTGAACCACCCACAAAAGCTAACTGTGAAAAGCAAACGTGAGAATAAATAAAAGTGTAAATACATTCACACTGAAAAACACTTCTTTGAGTAGAGTTTTTTTAAAAGGTTAAACTAACACAAAAGAGGACACATCCACATTCAATTAGCATTTTAGAATTTTAATATAATAGAACAAGAAAAATGTTCCCGGGATAGGTGATATTAAGTAGTGTGCTCTGGAAAGTGCATTAAGAAGAATAAAGAAAGAAAACAGAAGTCTAATTGAATGTGATCTGAATGATGCTGAG